TGTGTGTATTATTTAAAGGAGTTAACTGGAATATTTAAGCTCTTTAAAATGCAACTAAATGTAACATCAAGTTGCTCATACATTTGTAAATCTATATACAAAACAGTTTGTCCTGACTGATTGGTGATCAACGCACAGCCCAATCGGTAAAAGATAGGAAGCTGAAATTTCGTAGGTGCCCACTAAGAAGGGTTTTTGGAAAATTCGAGCTCAAAGGGTGGAAAAACGAGCTCCAAAGTTTCTTTGAAAAATCCATATTTTTAAACCGATTGACCTAAAACTTGGTTTCTGAAATAAATAAAAGAATACAAACAAAGCTGCATGCTTCATTTTTTGATTTTTTTCTTCGAAACTAAATAATTGGGGCTTTCATGGTGCATAAAAGGAAGCCGCGTAAACAGCCCACCACCCAAACGGTAACAGCCCACCACCCAAGCTGCAATTTAGGGTCAAGTATTATATCAGTATCAGTATTATTTTTGGAAAATTCTAGGTCCAACACACGAGGTCCATAAACACACACAGTGACACTCACAGACACAAACAGAGATGGGCAAAATCGGTGCTTTTTATTGTTCGTGGCATATTCCAATTTCATATATTCCGTGTTTCATATTCCAATTTCACACATCACACATACATACATACATACATACATATATATGTATGCGCTCGGCCGCTGCCTGCCTGCTCAAAACTGCACACCGCCTCTGCCGGCCTGCACGATACTGCTCAAGGCAGTAGTGCTGTGCGAAACATCGATGTAAAATCGATACATCGATGCTTTGCAAATTTTTCCAAACATCGATGTTTTATTTCCGATTTTCGATGTTTTTTACTACTTGAAAAAAAATCGCGGGAAAAGCTAGGTAAGTAAAAGCTAAAATTTGCATTTTTTAATAAAACCCCTAATATAATACAGAACAAATTACTAATATTATAGATGGATATTGGTGTTGGCAGTGCTTGGAAATGGAAATAATTTTTATCTTGCAGCTGCAGTCTTATTTGTGTATGTGTATTTTCATTATTTGTACATATATTAATATGTTGTTCTATCTAATTGGATTGTAATGCAAACAGAAAAATTTCTGGAAAATGAGCTCTCATCACTCAACAACGCCTCCTTTTGGACCAAGCCTGCCAACACCAATATCCACAACACAGCCGCAACCGCAGCCACTTTTTCAATTTTTGGAAATGAACAAATCGCATACAATTCGTAATTCTCGCGTTGACTCCATTTTGACTCTACGTCAGTATTTTAACATGGATAATTTGGATTCAAGCCTTAGCCCTTTAGATTACTGGAAGGTAAAACTTTATATAACAATATCGGTTTTGATAAGTTCACAATGATAAATGTTTTATTTACAGATCTCAAATGATAAGGCATGTATATGCAAGTACCTCTGCGTTCCTGCAACGTCCACTGAAAGTGAGCGCATGTTCAGCAAAGCCGAAAAAGGGAGTTCGCTTAAATCAGAGAATGTAGACATGCTCATTTTTATACCCTGTACCCGTAGGGTAAAAAGGGTATATTAGGTTTGTGCAAAGTATGTAACATACAGAAGGAAGCATCTCCGACCCCATAAAGTATATACATATATTCTTGATCAGCATGACGAGAGAAATCGATCTAGACATGTCCGTCCGTCTGTCCGTCCGTTATTTGAAGTTATAAAAATATCGTTTGTTTTAAACCCTTTTGTACCTTTATAAATAAGACAAATCAAAACGAAGTGCCCTATGTTGTATATTAATTTTTGGTTGAAAATTTGTTAGTGGAATTTCGATGCATCGATACATCGATGTTCTTCCCCCAAAAAAATCGAAACATCGATGTTGGCAAACATTTTACGAACCCTAGTGTCGGTAGAGAAATATCATATACTAGTAAATAAACAGTAAAGTAAGCACAAATACTGAGCCAGCAAAGACGGGCAAGACCTGTTAGTACTTTATAAATATATCGGAGTTTTATAAAGCTCTGATTAGAGCGAAAATATTTTTAAACAATACAGCCTGATTATTGTGACACATACCAATTTCCATGGGATGTTGCAATCTAATCTGCAAATTAGCTAATTCTAGGCGTTCTCCCAGGCAGATAGACAGACATGCTGTTTTCAGAAATATGTAATTTTTCGTATGGCAGCTGCTCTCAGTTTGAAAACGAATTTATATAAACCAGCCTAGTGAATTTTCTAAAAGCATTCGAAAATTTCTCAGTTGAATAGAATTTTTTTGCAAGCTCACATTAAAAGGAGCCGTCGAGTTGCGTCCATATGGTCGGAGCAGTCATCAAAAGGAAGTTATGGCAGATAAAGGAATCTAAAACCATATTGTTTCGACTGGGCAGAACTAGAAGTAGTTAGCTATGTACATATGTATATAGTATGTATGTATATTCTGCAAAACCATGTTTAATTTTAGAATTATTAATCCCATTAATATTTATTGATGCGACCAATATTGAATAGTTTTCGTATTCATATGAAAGAAAATCGGATGAAATAAAAAGGCATTGTTGCGCCTTCAAAACTATTTAACCTTCTTCGTTATTTTTGACGACTATCAACTGAACTTTTCATATATATTTATCTGCTTGATTTGCGATTGCCTATATATACATATATAGTACACCAATCACAATTAGTTTTTTGTAAAGCCATGTTCTACTTCTATAATCCAGCATATATTTTTTTATGTATTTGAAGCAACTGGCATTATGCCATTACATAAGACAACCATGATTTTTTTGATCACTCCACTTTGTCGCATTTTCCTCAGGCACGTTTTTTCGCAAATCCTACGAGTATTTTTTGTTCAGCTTACCAACTCATTGCACTTCAATGCAGTTGACATTTTTATTAAAAGCTTTAAGTTGTAACTGCAGAGAAAACGCAAACACACACTTACATACATACAAGTATAGTATGTAGTTGCATATATGGATATATATATATATATACATACTCGTAGATGTCCTGCGACAGAAATTTTTCTGCAATGGCAACGGCTGTTGCGAACTTATTGGCTGCAAGGTGCATGAGACTGTGTGAGTGTTTTAGTATGTACGTGTATGTATTCGTATGTGTGTTAGTATGGGAAATGTGTGTGCGTGTCGCTTAGCCAGCTGCTGTCTTATGCAACAAAGTAATAATGTCAAATATGAGTTGCCATACGAAATCTACTTTAACTTGCAACGCATCGTGACGTCGCAGTCTTTTGTTTGAAGCTTTTAGCCATTTTTTCATTCCCTTCGTATGTCATGGCGAACACAGTCTTACAATAGCTTTTCCCTATGCCCGTAAGCTGACTTATGAGCGTGGCAAGGCAAGCAGAAATGGCATCATTTTTATAAGCTGCCAACAAGTCGCATGTGCAGTGCGTGACGTTTTATGAAGCTGCTGATTCCGAAACCGATTGTCAAGCGTTGCTGACAAATGATTGGGAGTGGCTGCGCTGGAAAGCATCAAATCTATATACTTGTAGAAGCAAGTAAATATCTGCAGTCTGAAATTAGGTTACTAAAACGTTACAAAATTCACTAAAACTCTATTTCGAACGCACGACAGTAAAACGAAGTCCATGCGGCGTATGCACAATATTGATGACAGACTGCGTTCCAAATGCATATTAATTGGGCGCAAGATATAGGCTGCCGACGCAAATCTGTTAGGAAATGTGAATTGGGCCGCCATTTTGAGGGTTGGTGGGTGCGCCATTTGCAATTGCTGAAATATTCGCTTTCACAAACACAAACACACACACACCACACCCACTCACACAGATATTTGGGCGCATAATTTTCGCTTATGCTGCCTGGGCTTGGCAGCCAACAGATTTCGATGCATGTGCAACAAAACGTTTATATGCCAGGCATGAGAACGTCTCTACCCCTCCCTCTTCCTCTATCTCTAGGGCTCAGCATCCGTGTGCGTGTGTGCCAACATGGCGGTTGTTCATTATGTGCATAAACATTTTCACATCCGTTTACAGCTGCCACTGCCGCTTCTGCTGTTGATTTGGCGCGTTGCATATTTGTTTGTCTCTGCCACCGATGCACCGGGACTACATATACATACACGCATATGCATTTATGTGTGTGTGTGTGTGTGTGTGTGAGTTTTAATGCTGTACGAATACGAATCGTGCATTGTCTTGTTGTTATGTGTTAGATATTTTGGATATGCCGCGTTCGTTGCTGTTGTTGTTTCTGCTACCCGCATTGTGGTTGCATGCGTTTGAAGGTTTGTCGGATGCGGCTAAATACTCGGCGAATGTTCGTGCCTGAAGTTGTCTGATAATGATGCCTTGCTGAATTTTATTTAAGATTCAAATGCATTTGAACTACGCATTTCAATTGCGTGGGCTGAACAGCATTTTCTCCACTAATTAATAATTCATGAATTTCTTTCTGCTTTAACACTAAAGATCGTAAAGCTAAAAATAAAACATATTAGAAGATATGTACTGACGCCTCAGAAGTTTCAAATGCATACTGTTGTGATATTATACTAAAGTTCGCCAAAAAGAACAATTAAAATTCAAAAAAGATTTTTTTTATAAGCTCCATGACATACTTTTAAAATTAAGCGCCTGAGGCTTTTATGATAGCCAGAATATTGCTCAATAGAGATTGGCGTTCTTTGAGCGATAAAGCTCCCGCTCAGCACTCGCAACACATTTTTCCACTAAAAATCACGTTTTTAATATTCTTTAATAAAACATTTTAAAACATTTTCCGAGAGAAAAATTTTAATGAGCTAATGGCCTATCTTGATCTGCCCGGAAGCTGCTAATAACGCGAAAAGCTGATTGAGACAGACATCGCGATTAAGATTTGTATATGTACTACACACGTATATGAATATATGTCTATACATATGTATGGTACGTACGACATTTGATTTACCACTTATCCTTCTGGCCGTTCAAACTACATAGTTTACCCAAAATGTATCAAGTATGGGTATGCATATACTGCAACAGGCTGCAATAAAATGAAGAGAAATCTTTACTTTTCAAAATATTTTAATGTGTAATGTGGCAACTTATTAAAGAACAAAAGGTAGCACAAAGGTATCCTTCTTTCAGCTTATTTTGCAAATTACCTACGCAAAACGTATATATGTAAATAATTATAACACACTTTACGTATAAAAAAAATGATTACTTACTTAGATATTAGATAAAGAAATAGTATTTTTGCTATCACTTAATAATACAATTTGAGCCAGATATCACATAGGGTGGTAGGCAAATAAAATCCGGTACCTTCATGGTAGTGACTAGCAACAAATTTGTCAGCACGATTGGGGTATGCATTGCTGTTAGAAGTCGTTATATTACTAGTAACGAATGAAACTATAACTTTAAAACGCTGCATACTACCATATTATTAAGAATTAGCAACTTGTTGGTTCTGCATATAATACACATTATTTTTCCCCCACCTCCAATAGTTGTTACAAGTTTTCTTTTTCTTCACCTTTATTATAAATTTATAATATGGGCGAACAGATACCCTTCTTATGTACTGAGTTCATAAAGTTACATGAACAAAATCTATTTAGCCTAATGACAACTATTTGCCTTAAAAACAGTTAGATATTTCAGGACTAGTGTGTATTTTTATACCCTGTACCCGTAGAATAAAAAGGGTATATTAGGTTTGTGCAAAGTATGTAACATGCAGAAGGAAGCATCTCCGGATCGGAGAAGTATATATATTCTGAATCAGCATGACGAGAGAAATCGATCTAGACATGTCCGTCCGTCTGTCCGTCCGACTGTTTGGATGAACGCAAGGATCTCAGAAACTATAAAAGCTAGAATAACCAAAGTTGGTTTCCAGATTCTCCTAGGTCAGAGAAAGGACGAGTTTCATTTATTTTTTTGAATTACCCCCCCCTCCCCCCCCCCTCTTCTCCCGCTACAGATTACCGTCAATACCATCTACATTTCGAAAGCTACATAAACCAAACTTTGCACTTTTGTTCCTCCTTTTGTTCATCTAAATAATTTAATACTACGCCCACAAGCTGCAGCATCAAGTTCTCTCTTCTTCTTCCTTTTGCTTCTGCTAGAGGTGCATATATCTCAGTGTCGGAAGTTTACCTGGGTTTAGGGTATTCCACTGTTGGGAGTGCTTAAATCAACAGGCACACCCGTTGGGACAATGGCATCATACAGTCGATCGGCCTATCACCCGCCTCAAGAGGAGACATTAGCACTAGCTTTATATTTAAATGCATTTTATAAGATTTATATTTTCAGTTGAACACAATCGGAAATACGTTCAAATGCACAATTTCAAATCAGGTTTTAAAAGAGACACAAAATACTTAGATACATCTAGTACCTTCGGCACACAAATTCACATTTTTGTAAGGATTGAAAGCGATTAACATTTCACAGCATCACAGCCTCCTTAAATGAACGGTAAGCATTGATTCTTCTCATTATCGTCGGACTATTTAACTGAGAGATTTAAGCAGAATTGCTCACTAAGACCTCTTCCTAACGGCAGGGAACAAATTTATTCAACGTAAGAGTCTATGCAATCAATACTAAAGTGCTCATCATCAACTACTCACCATGCCTTTCTTCGAAACCCCCGCTGAGAACAGTACAAATAAAACAACTTAAAACCATTAGTTTCATATCGCAATCTTATATAAGTCTTCACAATTTGTTTTTTAGGGAATAAAAAATAAAACAAACTCATATAGCATACATATATAAGGCATCTTTGTGCAAAATTATGTGTCTGTAGCTCGTATAGTGTCTGAGATCCAGGTGCTCATACGGGCGGACGGACAAACGGACAGACAGACAGGGCGAGATCGAATATATATATAAATTTTAAAACATAGTTTTTTTTAATGAACAGATGTAATGTGGCTGCTAAAAGGAATTAAATTAAAATTTTCGAATATCATCTAATATTACGTCAAACTGATCGGTCGAAGAAATTAGCCCAAATGAAATGTGATGTATCCGTAACAAAATACCAAAAAGTGGTATCACATAACACCTTGAAATAAACTTAACTAAGTATGGTTAGTTTGTTTATATACTTCGACGAGGGCCATGCAAGCATACTTTTGGCTTTTCACCTTTATTTTCGTAATCCCAGGAGCACCTCTATGCAAGCCCCCAACTTATTTCAATGGAAAGGAATGTGTTACGATACCGAAACCATGATACAAAATAAAAATTTCTTAAATGCATTGATTTAATATTGTGGTTACACACATATTAAAAGCGTATACTTGTTTTGAGCGAGAAAGGTCGATTATGTCTTTTTTTTTTTTTTTTTTTTTTTGAATACCCTTTGCTTATCCTGCATTACTATTTGATAAATAATATCCCAAATGTCCTGCGCAAATACATGGTTCGTTTGTTCCAGCAATGCCACCAACTTAAATCTATTCACCTACAGATATCATAATCTAATTCCAAAACGTACTAAGCATATTTAAGGTACACAACAAAAATATTCCATAACAAACATATCTTATGAATTCCTATCTTAAAGCTGTACAAGGTATTTAAGGTATTATATGTAGAACATTGTGATATTGAAGTTTGGCTGACTAGACTTGTGTTCACTCCACTTTATATATTATTACTTTCCCCGAATACTGGTCTGTTCATCGTTTCCCTTTCTACATGTATATCATGTTATCCTTATCGTATATCCCAAAATATCAAGGACGACTGTTTTGGGAACAGCATCAAAAGATGGCGGACCCTGTATCAAAATAGGCAATTGTTTGTAGTTGGCGCGACGTTATTTCCTTTATTGTGTTCGTATTGCATTGCAGCTACAGTGATGGATGACAACAGCAACTAACACAACGAGACATTTGCGTGCCTCGACGTGTGTGGCATGCAAGAAATAAAATTGTGAAAAATTCACGCCCGTGCCACAGGTAAAATGCTACGTATTTATCAAGAGTGCCAACAGCACGTAGCAGTATGTCCCTTTTTGAATAGAGCTATCATGGCGCGTATTTTGTTTATTTATCAACAGATTAGCAAGCAGTTGTCGCATAGAAGCAGATATACGAACTGTTGGCATGGCCGCCAAGAGCCAGACAGAGACAGGGATCGGGACTGCGACCATTGCCAAGCCAACAAAACGCTTGGCGTTAGCCATGTTTAATAGCACATAAAATCGTCATAAGCAGCAGTCAACAAAGTCGTACCAAGTAGCGGACGGCAACTTAAGGGACTATAAATAAACATGGCAGCCTGCACACACAGACCGCAAAGCAAATACACACAACTTTGCGGCGAATAGTAAGTGTAACTTACGCCCAAAGCGCTCATAAGTCAAAATTTTTGGCGACTGTCTAGGAGCAGGTTGAGCTCCCTTTCTCTGCCATTACTCTCATTCTCAGTAGTCATGCTTTGAGTGTGGGCGTTGACAATGCGTGAAAGTTGTTGCTGTGTTTTTGTTGTTGTAGTAGTCCTTGGGGTCTGTTTTGTCGCACCCGGCCTGTTTCGAACTGTGAAATATGTGTTGCATATATTTGTGCGCACTGGCAATGGCACGCTTTTGCGGTTTATTGTAGGCGTGGCGCGTGCTCGAACTTAACATACTCAGGCACACAACAATTTTTTCCGAACTTTCGTTTTATTCCTTTTCTTTAATATTTTACTTGCTGCTCACGTACACAGTTGTCGCTGAAGAGATCAAGGGAGTAGCCACAGTTCCCGACAGCGTGTGCACATAGTTCATAATTCATTTTCATTCATTATTATTTTCATTTTTCACATTTTCGGTTTTAAGGACATTTCCTTGCTTTAGCAGACTTGGCCGTTGGGTTGGCTAGTCGCTGGGTTGGCACTGGCGTTGACAAATTATTTCAAATTGGATTTTCATAACGTATTTTGTGTAAATATATGCGTATAAGTCAATGTGTGAGTTCAACTCAGTTATTCAGGCAAAAGCTTGGTCCCATGGAATCTTAAAGTCCAGTTTTCTATATTTTATGTACAAACGTGATTACTTTCAATTGAGGAAAGTAGGATAAGCTTTAAGTAAATATAAACACAAAAGGGTGTAAGCAGGGGAGGCAAAAAAATGTTTGCCATATAAAGTCGACCACACGTTCATTATTTCGACTTAAAATGGATCTGAGTTGGATTTGTTCAAGTTTTTTCATTGATCATATGCATAAGTTATTTTTTAAATGCATCGTGCATTTTTTAATAAAAATTTTAATTTTTTGGCCCCCTTTTGGTAAAAACTGCCTACGCCCTTGTAAACACAGCATTAACGTGTTATGCGAGAAGGCAAAAAATATGAAAAGTATGAACTAGATTTTTTCACGAGTAAAAACTTTTTCAGGCATACAATTAAGAAATCGTACTAAAATTAGATAAAAACGACACCTACATTAAATGAACGAGAAAGAATACTAGAGTCAAACGGGCTTAACTCTTAAATTCGGTGTACAAATTTTTTTTTATGATTTAAAAAAAATTAAATCAATTTAATACATTTTTAAATGTAAATAAAAAATATTCAACGCGCACTTGTACATACATAAGTGTACACATGTCTACATATGTATATGCTTATGTGCACTTTCAACAACATACATTTACATCACATCGTGTCTTTGCGTGTTTATGTGCGTGCATGTGTGCAGTCCGAAATGAAGTCAGAGCAGCAACAACAACCACAGCTGCGGGCAGAGATTACATTTATGGCTATAACTTTCTTCATAATTGAGGTATTCTTAGCATTCGGACACATAACCACTAACCGATTGTACAGTGGCGTGCAAAAATTAGTACATGTTTGCAACCATTGAGCGTTGGTTCTCTTAAAAAAGTTATTAGCAAAGCAAATGAACCCAAATTTTGTCTGTTTATTTCCTCAATATATCTTAACAAATCCATGTACAAAACAAAACATAATCATGTTCTTCTTAACGTAGAAAAATTAAAAACAAAAACAAGCTAAAAAGCTAAAGTCGGATGTCCCGACTTTGAAATATTCTGTACATATTTTTACAATAATTATAGAAAATAAAAAAAATTAGGAAAATTAGAAAAAAAAATTGGATCTATTTTACCTCTCTCGGTATTCGAACTCACGTAAAGGGTGTATAATTGCACATATACAAAGCAATTGCGTCTATGTGAGTGTATGAACGCCTAGGCGCATCTATTCGTGTCTGTGTAAACAAGTTTGCAGTCAACCAAACAGCAACATCAACAACAGCTGCGGGCAGCGCTTGAGCAGCAAATATATTTATGGCTATA